GGGAAATGCTGTTTCCTCACAGAAAGAAGATCACTGGTTCGAGTCCCAGCTGAGCCAGAAACTCTTTCCCTCACAGTCTAAAGAAGTGTGAATCACAGATGCTTAATTGTCTAAAGGTGTAGCTGTGTGTTTTACTGCCTATCGATGGAGCCGTGAGTTTGTTATTGTTTTTTTGGCTTTTTTATGGCTCAGTTTTGGGGTTTCTGGTTAAAGGCTGGTCTCTATGTGGTTTACTGAAGGCTGAGATTGGGTAGCACTATTAAAACTTGTTCTGGCCCAGTTCAGGGCTGGTTATAAGTTACTATTCGGCTGAGATTTGGGCCAGTTATGGCTCATGTCTGTAGTCCAGATCTGGGCCAAACAAGGGCCGTAATTCTTTGCTGCATGTGGGCCGAGTGTAACTGCTTGTTTGGCCCAGAGCTGGGCCAGAAGATAATTGCTATGTGGGCACTCATGATAATTGGTAGAGGAAATTTGCTCTTCTTTGAAAATTTTTGAATTTTTATTTGCCCGCTATCATGGCGGATAGCTGTGTGTATTCTTAGGCACCCGGAACTGAATGGGGTGTTTTCAAAAAATGCTTTGCTAGACTTAATGCTCTCATAGCTAGAGCAGTCAGCCCCGTGCGCGCTGCCTCAGCATGGGCGTGGCCCAGACGCATCCATATGAAGCTGTCAGTGATAATAATCATTAGTGACAGCATTCTCTTATTGTGGCCAGCCTAAGGCACACCTGTGCAATAATCATGCTGTCTAATCCGCATCAGCATCTTGATATGCCACACCTGTGAGGTGGATGGATTATATCTGCAAAGGAGAAGTGCTCACTAACACAGATTTAGACAGATTTGTGAACAATATTTGAGAGAAATAGGGCTTTTGTGTACATAGAAAAAGTCTTAGATCTTTGAGTTCAGCTCATGAAAAATGGGGGCAAAAACAAAAGTCTTGCGTTTATAATTTTGTTCAGTGTATATAGCACATTTCATACACAATGGTAATTCAAAGTGCTTTACATAAAAGAAAAGAAAAAAAAATCACAACAATAAAACAAGGAATTTAAAAACTTTGAAAATGATAAAAAAAAATGATTTAAGAGGTTTAAAATGAATTTAAAACAGTTAAGAATAGAAAACGATTATACATAAAATATAGTGCAATCAGTTCGGACATTGCACAGTGCTCATTCAGTAAATGCTGACTAATTGTGACTAATGTTTTAGCACATCTGATCTCTTCTGGAAGCCGATTCCAACTGCGGGTGGCATAATAACTAAAAGCGGACTCCCCTTGTTTTGTGTGAACCCTTGGTATTTCTAACTGACTCGATCCTAATGATCTGAGTGGTCTGTTAGGTTTATATTCAGTGAACATATCTGCTATGTATTTAGGTCCTAGGCCATTGAGTGATTTATAAACGAGTAAAAGTACTTTAAAATCAATCCTAAATATAACTGGAAGCCAGTGTAAGGACCTGAGGACTGGTGTGATATGCTCAGATTTTTTGGTTCTAGTCAGAATCCTGGCAGCAGCATTCTGGATGAGCTGCAGCTGTCTAATGGTCTTCTTGGGAAGGCCGGTGAGAAGACCATTACAATAGTACAAATATCCTGCTGGTGATAAAGGCATGAATATGTTTCTCCAAGTCTTCACTGGAAACAAAACATCTAATTCTTGCAATGTTTTTGAGATGATAGTATGCTGATTTAGTTACAGCACGCACACGCACACGCACACATTCACCCCCCACCTACAATCCCTGCTGGTACGAGACTCGAATCCGCAACGTGACTTCAGTTTTTTCCTTGATTGTGAGAGGAGTTTGCTCTGTGCCCAAAGCAGGAGACGTCAAATAATTTTGAAGTGAAGTGACATGACGTGTGGCCAAGTATGGTCTCCCTGACCCATACTAGGAATTAGTGCTCTGCATTTATCCCATCCTAAGGGCACGCACGCACACGCACACGCACACATTCACCCCCCACCTACAATCCCTGCTGGTACGAGACTCGAATCCGCAACCTTTGGGTTACGAGTCTGACTCTCTAACCATTATGCCACGACTTCCCCCGAGCCTGTAATGGGTACGTGACCTAAGGCCACCTTAGCGATTGATATAGGCTACCACTGTCGTGTTGTCCGAGCGGACCAAGACGTGGTGACCCTTTAAGGAAGGTTTTCATGGCCAGACAAACAGCCGTCATTTCAAGGCAGTTGATGTGCAGGCCTCGCTTGTGGATCGACCAGGAGCCAAATACCGGATTGCTCTCGTACAGAGTGCCCCAGCCCAAGCTGGAGGCGTCCATGATGACTACCTTCCTCCTGGAGGTCGTTCCCAACTGCACGCCTGATAGAAACAGGCTAAGAGTTTTCCAAGGGGCCACAACTTTGACGCAGCGATGGGTTACCCTCACATAATAGCGGCCCAGGCGCCAGGCGTAGGAAGGGACACGGCTTTGTAGCCAATACTGGAGAGGCCGCATGTGTAGCAGGCCCAGGGGAATAACTGAGGAGGTGGCTGCCATGAGGCTGAGCATCTTCTGAAATACCCTCAGGGGACGTGCAGTCCCCAACTTGAACGACGCCGCCACTCGCTGGATGTTCAGGGAGCGTTCCGGCCTAATCCAAGTTTGCATTTGTACTGAGCCTATAATTGTTCCCAGAAAGGTCACTCACTGTCTGGGAGTCAGAGAACTCTTGGCTGAGTTGATTTTTAACCCAAGATGCTCCAGATGGTTGAGCAACAATCACCTGTGAGCGATAAGTTCCTGTTCTGATTTGGCTAGCGCTAGCCAGTCGCCAAGGTAGTTCAGAATGCGGATTCCCATCTGTCTCAGAGGGACACTTCGTCCATGCACTTCGTAAAAGTGGGGGGCCAGGGACAGTCCAAATGGAAGGACCGTGTACTGATATTCCACTCCCTTGAATGCGAATCTCAAGAAAAGTATGTGACAGGGAACTATATGGATATGAAAGTATGCGTCTTTCAGATCCACAGACAGAAACCAGTTCCCGGGCGCAATATTTGCACAATGATGTTTCAAACTTAAAATTCTGAACGGCCGTCGCATGAGGGCGCGATTCAGAAGCCTGAGATCGAGAATTGGTCTGAGTCCGCCATCTTTCTTGGGAACGAGAAAGTATTGGCTGTAAAAGCCTGACTCGCTATTCGCTAAGGGGACCGTTTCTACAGCACCGTTTGCAAGCAGTGTTTGCATGTCGGACCGGAGAACATGTGCTTCGTTGTCCTTCACCGAAGTCTGTATATGCCTCTGAAACCAGGCCTTTAAGCCTGCGGTTCGACGGTGGGAGAGAAAGGAGCTGGGAAAGCAGAGCGGGGAGGACCACCTTCATTGAGGAAGGCGATCCGTGAGCAGAGACGGGCGAGACTCATGCTCTCGCAATGAGAGCATGAAGCCTCGGTGAGCGCTGCCTCTGCATGGGCGATCCCCAGACAGGCGACACATTCACCGTGACCGTCTGCATCATGCAAGAGGTCCTTTTGCAACAACGCAGCTTGAAATTTGCTCTGGAACCATTCTGGCGGGCTAGAGCGCTATTGATTTTTTGCAGCTACACAAACGTGAACAAATCAGGCTTCAGTAACAGAGTAAACAGGAGTTTCCCCATAGGTCGTCCAGACGACACAACAAGAGTTACCTTTCGATAGGGAAACAGCTAGTTAGTTTATCAGCGCTTTTTTTCCGATAGAGATCCCACAGCAGGTGGAACTTATAAAGTTAGTGATAACAAGGCCCACCCATTTAGAGGAACGATATGATTGGTCAATTTTTATGTCATTTTAAATTACACTCCCATTTAATTACTATTGCTTGGCCCTCTGTAGTTTCATAGCTGGACCACCACAGAGCTGCAAACGCTAGGTGGAAACATTCTAATATGGAGAAAATGGGCGGCATTCATTAGCCCATTCATTGAATAGGCAGATTTGAAGAGTTCTTTTTTTCCCACAGAAATTACATTTATTTTATTTAGACGATGATTGTGAAATTATGAATTGCTTAAATAAAATGGAAATTAGGTTAGGCCCCTGACAATTCCCCTCTGGTTGCTTCCATGCCGCTGACTGGACAAAGTCACGTGACTACATACGCGGTAGCATGTATTTTTAAGAAGAAAAGTCAGGGCTGCCAATTCAGGCTGTTGCCGTAAGTTGTTTTTTAGTCAATAATTTTTTTTATTAAAGCGATCTCCCACCACACTTCCCCAAATGTGATTTTGACAGAGGGGAAAACTGCGAGAAAAACATGATTGGACTAATTTTGGTGTAGTTTTGAACAGCAATCAGGCTTGTTTTATTTTGCGGACATGGCAACCCTGGGGAAAGTATTGACAGAATTAAAACAAAAAAAACTAAATAAACGACATGGAAAAATTACATCGGTTAGATCAGTGGTTCTCAAACCTGTCCTGGAGTACCCCCAGCCCTGCACATTTTGTATGTCTCCCTCCTCTATCCCACCTGATTCAACTCATCAGCTCATTAGTGGAGACTGCAAGACCTGAAGTGGGTGTGTCATATATAGGAAGACATACAAAATGTGCAGTGCTGGGGGTACTTCATGGAGAGGTTTGAGAACCACTGGGTTAGAGGTTCTGAATTTCGGTTTTGTTACTTTTCGATTAATCGTTCAGCCCTAATATGAAGCATATAGGCCTAGACTTTCACAGAAAGTCAAACAATTTATTTAAAAGAAGGCAAAACAATCTTCCAGTCTATGTTAAAGTCAGTATGTACATTTACAATGATTTATGACAAATATAATGCTATTTAAAGGAAAACCATGTGAGTGGTGCTCTGTACACATCAGGATCTTTAACATATTCATTTTTATATTTCATAGGATTTAATTTTACATTTTATGGATACATTTTTAATCAACTCAAGAACCCCCTGTAGTTCCCCCACAAACTGCCATTTGGGAAACCCTGCTCTAAAAAATTTATACTTTACTTTGATGGGAGAATAATACACCGTACCATTTCTCAGGACCTGCTCCAACTTTAAGTTATAGATGTCTGTGGTATTGTCCAGAACCGTCCCCACCACTGTGACTTTGTAAGCTGTCAAACATACATGTTATATGTTCCTGTATACAATAACTGTAAGACTGTATTTAAATGGCACATTTCTTTCATTTATAAAAGTGCTGAGAATTTAACAGAAACAAAAATTTTTACCGTATCCCTTGTCATCTTCACAGGCTTTTTCCAAACGCTTGTAACTTTTGACCTGATGTTTCTTCTGTTTACTGCAGCATCCTGTGTCAAGACATGTTCTGATGTTTGTGCACAAACTCATAAGTTCTCTTATAAAAATTGTATTATAGCATCATTCTTAAATATTGGGGGAGGGAACTAAAATATATATCATCTTATATTATTAATAAGGCAACACTTTACAATAGGGTGACCATACGTGCCATTGTCCTGGCCAGGATTTCTATATTACCTAAAATAGCTCTAAAGGTTTTGGCTTTGTTTGCGTGTGCAGACCGATCGGTGTATGACATCAAAATACCTCGAGAGCATTTTGAAAGCATAAGGAACCATCTGTATGGTATTTTGATGTCATATACCGATCGGTCTGCACACGCAAACAAAGCCAAAACCTAGATATTTTAGGCAATATAGAAATCCTGGCCAGGACGCGTCCTGGGAAAATGGCACGTATGGTCACCCTACTTTACAATAAAGTTCAATTCAATAAGTTTTAAATTCTTCATCTGAGCAAGTCTTACAACAACTGCAGTGCAAGTGTTTGCAAGACATTCTTCAAAATATATTGTTTAGTGCTTCACAGAAGAAAGAAAGTCAAACAGGTTTGGAACAACATAAGGGTAAGCAAGTAACTTTTGAGTGAACCATCAAAATGTTTGGATCAACCATCTCTTTAAGCAAAAATTGTAAATTACTTTATTCTCTTCCATTCATGTTGTGGGAAAGTAGAGTCAATAATATGCATTAAAACTGTGAATCTATTATTTCAGTCTGTAAAAGTTCAATTTCAGTCAGACAAAACAAAAACAATTATAATTCAAATCGACTGCATAGAATTGTACTAGTCTAGTTTTTGAAAAAGTCAGACTAGTGGACCTAAATAATGCAAATGCAGCACTGTCCACTCTAACTTTAAATATGCTACATGACATGAATGACATTTTGTGTGTGAGTGGCTGGATCTGATTCTTCTAAGAACTCCCCACCTCCCTTGGTTACTGTTTCTAATGAACTTTCTGAAATTTCTGTGAAGTGTGATTATTCATAAAATGTGCTCAGAAAGTCATAAAATATTGGACATTATTCTTATGTAGGCTAGAGAGACATTTCAATGCATATTTCCTTTTTTCTTTAAATTATGCATTAATGTGATTTTAAAAACCCACCAATTGGCAAACCAAGTCAATTGAAAATGTATTAAATGTATGGGCCTTTACTGGGAATTTGGCTATTACACATTATTTCAAAAGCAATTTGAACACTGATCCTTTGTCTCATGATTATTCAAATGATATTAATTCAATTAACCATTACTATGAAATTACAACAACATAATTTGACTTAAAAGAACATTCTGAGTGTGCAAGAGATAATGCTACATTTCCTGTAATCAACTAATTATATATATTACGTTTTGCATCCTGGAGCTCAGAGATGCCGATGTATCGCTCCCTGTGTTCTGGAGTTTGGCTTTCCTCTCTTGTAGGCCAGTATTCAACCCAGGTCTGCTCTCCCAAGATGTACTGCAGACTAAAAGCAAAAGAAAACACACTTTTGCAAAAACTTATGAATACATTTTGGTATAAATAACCATTAAACAACATTACATACATAATAGACACTGAGGCTGTGTTCCAAAATCTACCCTTATACCCTTAAATATTTAAGTGGATGGACATTTTTCCAAAACCATAGTAGACATTATCAAGTGCACTCATTTAATTCCATAATGCATAGCAGAGTTCAAGATAAATAATTTCATTGCTACTGGAGCTGCCAGTTTACAAAGTTTCAAATGATTATTAAAAAGCAAGTACAAACTATGCAAAAGGGGCAGCCTTTCCGGCACACTCAGTGTCCGAATTCACTCGTTTTCATTCACTCCGTCAACTGTCTGCACTATATTAGTGGACTAATCTAGAGAATAGTGAATGAGGGCATATAGGCCATAAGGTGAAGCCGTTTTTCATTTAATCCCGTTCCCATATATGGGGCACTAAATTCTTTTCATTCCAATAAAAAGATCTATTAGTTTTGAGCGAGAAAATAAACATTTTTCCTAGTTCACCTTATGGCCTAATAAGGGGCAAAAGAGCTCCAGAAAACAATCACACTGTTGCATCCCAAATTGACAGGATTGTGCAGAATCCTGTAGCAGTGTTTCCCACAGGATTTTGTAAGACTGTTTTACTCTACAGTAGGAAAATTACAATACTTTTGTCTTAATTTCTTAAGTTAAACCCTCAAGCTTTTATTTTGGCAACAGGAAAACAAGTTTACAAATGTAAAATCTAGAGAAATTCTGTAACCTTTCCACAAAAATGTTGAAAATTATGTAAATGTATCTGTTGCAGACATCGTTGCAGATTATGAGAAATGTAAAAATATTTTTGGTCATATTTTTTTAAGGATCACCCATTCGCCCAACAACATAATCCAATGGTGTGGGTGAAGGTATAATGTGTGTAGGTCTATTACTTGCACTTCTGCAAAGTTCACTTAATTTGTTAGGCTTTTGCATCGGAGGAACCTTTTTTCACGGTTCCTAGAACTAATGGTGGAACTTCCTGCTCTTTGGGCGTGTTTGCACCTCAGGAACTGGGAACGAATTTAGTTTTAGGAACGTCCTTAGGGTAAACTAAATTAGCTCCTATATCAGAATAGCGTTTAACCCAGCACAATATGAACAATGAGTAACGTAAATGTACTGTACAATCATTTAGGGCTGCACGATTAATAGAAATAAAACCAAAATTGAGATTTGGCTTGGTGCAATTTTTTATTAAATTAATATACACAGCATGTTTCACTTAAAGTGCCCCTATTATGCCATTTCCAATATTGCCTTTCATGCAGTGTGTAATGTAGCTGTATGTGAATGTAAACGATCTGCAAAGTTGTAAAGCTGAAAGTGCACGATAAATAAAGTTATTGTCTCCCAGAATAAAGAATCGACTCTGTACAGCTGAAACGAGTCGTTAGTAATTTGAATCCCACTTCCGCGACGGCTACACGTCACGGGATAACACATTTGCATAATACTGCAATATGTTCTACGTTGGCCGGCCGCGAACAACTTGACCCCGCCCACAAACACGTCATTCTACTAACGACTGCTTCTCTAATCTCTGGGAGTTCAACGCGGATTCACAAAACGCTTGCTGTTGAAAGATGGATCAGTATCCTGTTTATTTGGACCAGCTGCTCCACTGAATCACAACCTGCAAGTATGATAAATAATAGATGTTTATATTTTCTATAGAGCGTTCAAAATACAGAACTATTGAAATTGGCGTATCGTTTCCGACACGCGCTGTATGCCATAGACCAATCAGAGAAGTGCAGAGAAGGCTCACGGAATGGAGGGGTTTAAAGAGACTGAATCTTTGAACTGCTTCGAACGAATCATTTGAGAATCGCTTGAAAACAAGGTGATATTAAATGCATATTTTGAGAAAACAAAAGCGCTTTTTGACCTTGCATGCATGTAATCCCAAAACAATATTAGGAACCGTAAAAATGTCATAATAGGTGCACTTTAATGCTCCTCCATCTCTTAAAGCAGTGTCTGTGGGTTTGAGTCATATAACCTGCATTTGAAGAAACAATTTGTAATGAGAACCATTCATAAAACTGTTGTCCAACAAAAGAGAACATTTAATAATGTTTTCACTCCAAATTCACTTTATAACATCAGTCAAAACTGTAATAAATGCTATTAGCATTGCATTAGAAATATACATTATTCTTATAGAAACACCTGCGATGGCTTGAAGAACACAGATAAACCATATATTGTCGCAGTCGTGTTTACTGTCTTCGTGGTTAATCAGTCAAAGCATTTATATCTTCCATTTATTCAGCTCAGCAATAGGCATCAATATTAGGTATATTTTGTTCATATTAGGAAGTTCCTGGAGGCTCATAAGTTTTATTACTTCTATGCGGCATATTCAGAGTTTCTGTGCGGGGGCGCCCTCAGGCTACGAGTATGAATGAAACAGACATTACATGTGTTTGTAGCACTCTATACTGTTCCCGCCACACTATTTTGGGTAAAATTAAAGTAATATTTCTCTCTAAATAAATCTGAAGTAAACATATGGTAGTCCATATGTTGTTCTCCAATGTACATGAGTTTTTTTGTTTTTTTTCTTCCGTGCTTTAAAAAAAAATCGCTGTTGGCTGGCTTACGTCAACATACCAAGTTCCTAGAACTATGTTCCTAGAACTCTTTTCAGTGACCTTGGGCCATATACCCGGGGTGGGGGAGAGGGGGTTTAAGGATGGGTGAAGGGACAGTTGAGCAAATGGTATTCTTTGAGATCTTAAGTTTATTGTTTTGTTGCATGGCATCTGTCTTGTGAGAGTTCCTTAAGTTTGGCTTCGTTGGGAGATCAGACTGGCCTTTCATTTCATTATGAAACTTTGGAAACACAATGTAGGAAGTATTAACACCTACCTTCCACCTAGGTTTGGCAGGTCAACAGATTTGCCAATGATGAGGTATGACTTGTCTTTTACAAATCCTAAATGTTCTCTGCAAACGGGACGAGCCAAAAATTGTCTCACTTTCCCCTCAACTTCCTCATCAATGCCTAAAGGACAGAACAGGAAACATTTCTACAGGGACGTCCCAAACATCAGCTGCAGTTCAAATGAGTTCAGGCTCTAAAAACATTTCAATATACTTGGACAGACACAAGGAAATAATAAACCGTACCTTCTTTCAGCACCTGTTCCACCTTCATGTCGTAGATGTCAACTGTCTGTTGCAGATCCATCTTCTCCACTGTGACTTTATAAACTGCCAAACAGTCATGTTATGTCCATGTTATATTAGAGCTGTGACACTGGATCTGAATGGCTGAGGAAGGAGAACATGCGTTTACCATAATCCATGCCAGCTTCACAGGTTTTGTTGAAACGCTCCTGATCTCTGACCCGATTCTTCTTCTGGTAACTGCAGTTTTCTATGTTATGAGATGTTGATTTTCTATTATTTATACACACATTCATAACAGACCCATTCTCATTTTTAATTCTCATTTTGCAATTTGCTTTGGAAAAAGGCTGAATTAATGCATGCAAAATGTAATAACAATACCTTCTGCACAGTAGCACAAATCTCCCTTACACAGTGTGTTTAGAGCGCCATCTGTCCTTTCAGGGTGGTAGAACTTTGTACAGCGTGGATCTAAATGCATTTAATTAAATTTAGTTGAATTACAAATGACTGCAACATTCTTCTAAATACATTGAAAAAAAATAGTGTAGGATTTACTTTGAAACAGTTTTCACTGTTACAAATAAATGGTAAGTGACACACTGAATTAAATGTGTAAGTAAAAATACTATTTTGTAAAACATAATACAATAACCCTGGTTTGGATGTAGCACTATGAAACCTTTCCGAATTATCAGCATGCCATACATGCCTTCAAGCTTAAACCAGAGCATTTGATCAAACAACTAGCCCTTTTCACAGTTTTGCACTTTAAAACCAATTTGCTCTGTCAGTGTATACTCAAGTATTTGTAGAAATCTGCTATGGCAGAGCAACGTTTTGATTTATTGATTTTTTCATTGCATTACTTCAGCATACAGTATTATTCTCATTTGTAAACCACTTTCACTAAATGATTCATTATAAGTGTGCGTGCAGCTCACCTGGTGAGTAATATTCATATATTGTGACTGCAGCAGGTTGGAGCTGACCCACATTATACAGTTTGTGCATTCTGAATGTAATTACTTCTTTCTGTTTTCGAGAAACCTAATGACAGAGAAACTTAGTACTAATTACTAACACAAATATAGTTTGCATACCATTCTATTTCACATTAAAGTGATACTGTAGTTCATCTAAAAATTAGCATTAAGTCATCCTCATACTGTTCCAAACCGGTATAACTTTCCTTCTTTTGTGGAACACAAAGAATATTTTGAAGATGTTCATGCTGCTCCTTTCTATACAAAGGAAGCCTCATCAAAGCAGTCCATATTACACTGTATTCACTTTCAGAGCAGTATGTACATTTTGCAGAACATCTTTTTATGATCCATGGAAAAATATTTTAAAGTGCCCCTATCATGGATTTTGAAAATGACCTTTAATGCCGTGTAGCGTAACTATCTGTGAATGTAAACAGTCTGCAAAGTTGTAAAGCTAAAAGTGCATCATAAATAAAGTTATTGTCTCTTAAAAGAGGGAGTTGACTTGCTTAAACGAGTTGTTTAATATTCAAATCCCATTTCCGTGAAGTCACAAGTTACCACATTTGCATAATGCCCACATACGTTCTGCGTGGACATCCCACGGAAACCTGAACCCTCCTCAGATGCTGTAGCTCTTTTGTGTGGAAAATATTTTCGAGAAGACGCTGTGCTCTGTGCTGTGAAAGTGAATTCAGTTTATTTTCCCTTCCAAAAGATGAGTCTGTAAAGAATCACTGGTTAAAATTCATCTTTACTATGATACCACAGCAGTATAATCACAACCTTTTGTTGTGTTCCCGTCGTTTCACTGACGACTGCTTCTCCAATCTTTGTGAGTTCAACGTGCGATTCGTAAAGCTGTTGCCCTTGAAAGATGTGGCAGTTCCCAGTTTGTCTGGACCAGCTTGCTCCTCTGAATCAGAACCTATAAGTATGATTCATAATTGTTGCTTTAATGTTCTGTCAAGCGAGACATATAAGTAGTTTTGTGTGTTGTGTTGTGTTGTGTTGTGTTGTGTATACACTCATCACAGCTGCAGGTGTCTGGCTAACTCACATTATAGTTCTGCTAATCAGCTGTGGCCACGCTATTGTCTAGAAATGTGTTGATTAACATAGAATGTATGTCGTACATATTACTAGGAGTCATGCTAAAGGATGGAGCAATACGTTGGTTTACAAACTGCAGTGATTTATCAGTAGGCTACTCCACGTCTGTGTTCGGCTAACGCATATACCACTATTGTCTGGGTATTTACTACATTCCGTTTCTGACATGCGCTGTATACTAGACCAATCACAACAGACTGGATCATCAGACCAATCAGAGCAGAGTAGCTTCACGCAAAGGAGGGGTTTTGAAAGATGAATCTATGAACTAATCATTTTAGAGTCGTTGTGAAATTTGGTAAATTAAAATGTAATTGTTTTTATGTTTTTTACCTTGCATGCATGTAAACCTGTTGTTGGGGACTCCCAACACCAAATTATGAACCTTTCAAAATAGGGGCACTTTAAAATGGTTTGGAAAACAATGAAACTTAAAGCATTTATGTTATAGCTGGCACTACAGTCCTTCACTCAATTGTTATGTGCTTAACCAAACTACATATTTCTTTAAAATTATGCAATAGAGAGAGAGGGAGAGTGAGTATGACATCATCAATCAGCTAACATACCTTATCGAAGTAGAGGATCACTTTGTCCGTCTCAAATTTCTGACTGTATCTCTCCTTCCCTGTCGACAACTGACCACAAGAACATGAGAAAGCCCTAAATACATGACTAGATTAATTTGTTTTATGACCTTTCTGCAGATGTGTTAGATTCCTCATTTCCTCATATATATATAGCTAGTAGATCTGAGATACATGCAGAGGGCTCGTAAAGCTTCTAGAATTGCATAATTTACTCACTGCATACAGATGTGAGGCATCCAGAGGTGTGAAGTATTGGAGTAAATGTAATTAGTTACTGTACTTGAGTATATTTTCGGGTACTTTGTAGTTGTACTGAGTATCAAAGATATTAGCAACTTTTACTCTTTACTCCACTACATTTGAAATGAGTGTTGCAGTTACACACAACATTTTGAATGGACCTAACTTTTTCTGTGGCAGTTTATTTCTGCTACAAAAGACGTGATACTGCCTATTACAGGTCACTGAAAGTACTGTGTTTTGCCCAGCGACAGCCCCAAGACATTACTGCTCTAGAGGAGATCTGCATGGAGGAATGGGCAACAGTGTGTACCAGCAACAGTGTGTGAAAACCTTGTGAAGACTTACAGAAAACGTTTGACCTCTGTCATTGCCAACAAAGGGTATATAACAAAGTATTGAGATGAAATTTTGTTATTGACCAAATACTTATTTTCCACCATAATTTGCAAATAAATTCTTTAAAAATCCTACAATGTGATTTTCTGGATTTTTTTTCTCATTTTGTCTCTCATAGTTGAGGTATACCTATGATGAAAATTACAGGCCTCTCTCATCTTTTTAAGTGGGAGAACTTGCACAATTGGTGGCTGACTAAATACTTTTTTTCCCCACTGTATATATAGCCCTAGTTTTTCTTTAATTCCTTTGTGAGTTGTTGAATGTAATGGTAGTCTGTTTGCCAGTCATTCTGTTCTTTGTTCCCTTTGGTTTTTGGCTTATTGTTTGCTATAGATTTTCCATTAAATATCTGCACATAGATCCTTGCCTCTGCCTGTTTTCCGCAGCTTCTCCGCAATGTTACAGTTTATCACTGGCATGTCTCTTTGAGTAGTGCATCTTTGAGCCTATATTTAGTATAAGTAAAATACTTAAGTACTGTTAAAATCAGATACTCTAAGACTTTTACTCAAGTTGTTTTGGAATTGGTTACTTGTAACGTGTAGTGGAGTAATTGTCACTGTAAGGTATCTGTACTTTTACTCAAGTATGGTTTTTAGGTACTCTTTACACCTCTGGAGGCATCACTGCATTAGTTTATCATCGCAATACCACTTCCAGATCTCTGCTATCCACAGTAAATCCAGTCGGTAAGCCAATGTCCAGAATAGTCATGGTGGCATCGGTTTTATCACTTTTGTAGCTGTGAAAATGGAGATCAAGAGCAGATATTATTAACAAGTCTTGTAGGTTTTGCACAATGTTCTCTGCGTTTAAGGCTGTTTTCACACTAGAGCTTTTGGTGTGAACTCGAGTCCATTTGACCTCAGAATTATTATATTGTAGTATCAGAATAAAAAAAAGTTACTATTATATTGTAGTATCGGAATCAAACTCGGGCTCCGACCAATTAATAAAAACAAGTGTGAATTAAAACAGCCTAAATAAGCACATGCTAATAAATTACAAAAAAGGGATATTGGTTCACATACATGAAATTCATAGCGAGCTGATAAGTTTCAATAGCTCCTTCTTGTTTTGCTAAAGGGGAGAAGAACAATTAAAATAGTGAAAGAAGATTCAGTGCATAAAGAGGTACATTAGGGGTTACTAACTTTTAGGATCTTTCTCCATTTTAACAGTCAGATCAAAGAATGTACAGTTAGACTTCTCAGCAGGTCTGGCGTAGTACAGCGTCAGAACCTGAACACAGCAGCACGTCTCTGATCAGATGTTCAAACACATTTAACTTGCTGTTGACTGTATAAACACTCATGAACACTCACTGAGAGAGTGGCTGCTCCAGTTCCTCTAGCAGTTACATTGAAGTCGTTGTTTATGTCCACCTGTTGAGTGAATGCAGACATACTCGTATCATCAGAATAATCAAATCCATACTTGAAGATTTCATTGACCAAACACTATTGACGTAGACAATAAAAATTATGAATGACGAGCAACAAAATGCCCATAATTCTTAATTTACTATGATATAACTAATGATATATGTTGATGATATATGATATAATTCATTTGAACTGACACGAGCAGCAAACAATTTGAATCTAGTAGATGAGTTACTCTTCACCTTGTATGAATGTGTAAGATGTGCATTATCTCTTTTGATATTATATCTGACAGGTTTGCTTCTTCCTGCCACAGACAGCTCTACGTCCAGATTGAAGTTTTGTCGGTTCTTCACCTGCGTGTGATACTCTGCCACGGCCTGGAACACCATGATGGTCGCCTACAACAGACCGGTGTGGAAAGTGAATTTCCAACTGGAGGTTTCCAGCAGCCAAGCACAAACATGTTGTCCTCATTTACTGCACGACTTGAATTCAAAATTATAGACTTTTTTTTTAATGATTAAATTAAATTGTATTAATCAAGAAGCAAATTAAATTAAATTGATAATAAAACGTATACAATGAGATGAGAAATTATTATGACATTCTTTCTTTCTTTTGTTTATTTTTAGGAATTCTATATTGTCTTTTTTCTGGATTTATGATTTAATGCAAATTTATTATCAAAAAAATTTTTTTAAACTGTAATCAAATGAAAATGTAACTATTATTTTTTTTGCCAAACAAAGTGCTGCACAACAGAGGTTTACTGTTAAAATTAATACATGGAAGAAAAATAGAGTGCTTATTCCTTAAAAATAAAGTTTCAATAACTGTATTATTGTTATCGTTATTAGTATTATTCCTTTGAAATGTACATTCTACAGCACAATAGTAATATATTTCTGTCAAAATTCCTTCAAGTTAAACCAGACTTTTATTTTGACGGGTTGTCGTGAAGACCTTTGAGTTTCTGTGTGTGAATGTGATTTGAAGATAGTTTTTCAAATGAAATGGAGAAATGTTGGTGAAGTGACTCTCAGAACAACTCTAAAGATGAAATTCATGTGTTCATGTTGTAACAGCTGGACAAATCATACAGATTATTATTCATTACATTTAATGAATAATCCAACAGAAGAACTTGGAAGAACCAGAAAAACTTCAATGCCATCAAGCAACCAAACTATCCAGACTTTCATCAGAGACTGCATCCGGACACTCATTCAATGGGCAAGGCAATGCAAGCAGGGCTGAAACGATTAGTCAACATTATCGACAACGTCTACAATAAAAAAATTGTCAACAAATATTTTTGTTGTCGAATAGTCATTCACAACTCATTCTGCCTAATGTAAGGGCCTGCAATAATGCTGACACTGTCATGCAAGACTATAATTCAGCCCTCCTGGATGCAATTCAAGAGAAGACAGCACACACGGTTATGAAGGTAAGAGAGTGGCAAAACGTGAAAGCTTGTTGATTTGAATTTGAGAAATTGTCATATTAATATTTGTTTTTGTAAGTTAAAAAATGTACTCTCACAGCTCTCATGTGAAAAGCTGAATCTTTCGATTTGCACAAACAGACAATAATCAAAACACCCCTGTTTAGAATTTAAAGTTGCAGATTCCAACTCTTGGAGTTCAACCTCAGATCTTAGCGCTTTGACTTTTGCTACTCTTTTCGCGATATACCTGTAGCAAAACTCACTTGTGTACTTGTAAAAGCAGATGCGAGAGTTCAGAACCGGGGGTGGGGTGGGAATGAAGCTATTATTAAAAAATAACAGCCACAAAAATTACATTTCTAAGAGTTGATATTAGGGCCGTACCCAGTCAACACGTGAGATCACAGTGACATCTCACTATTCTCATTCGGTGATACTCACAGTGTGAGTAATATGAGAGCTCATTGTGATTTTAAAATGTTGAGCAGGTTGAGAGGAGGCAGTTCAAATATCAGTCACCGAGGAAGCTTTCTATATCCTGTTTCTCAACACTATCACAGTGATCTCACAGTGCTCTCACATGCTGAGCTCATGAGTGCACACTCAGCTAACAGCTTTTTGTTATAAGAACCTTCTCCAAACATACAACTGACTTCCAGACACAGCCTTCGATGAAATCAACTGAAATACAAAATACATTAAATCTTTCATGATCTCAGCACAGAATGATTAAACAACTCCACAAACAGCATCACCAGCTTCACTCATTATTAACCAGACTGACTTTATTTCTGTCAGACATCTACGAAAGCGCTTATTGAGAATGAACAGAGATTTAGATGATGATGTTTTGTTGTTTCATTTGATGTTACCATCAAGGTGATTAGTGTTTGCTTTAGTTGGGCTCTTGACCCTTGATTTTATAACCTTATATGTATTTGGGCTAATGTAACTGTATGAAACGCACATTTGTTAAGGCAAGGAATACCAAAAATAGACTGCAACCAGGTGATATCGGTTTGATGAATGGTGTGATGTCTCTGTGATCATCGCATGATCTCACGTGTTGACTGGGTAGAGAATAATTGTACTTTCAGTTTTATTATTTATTTATTTTTTTTTGTGAACTAAGCAATTTAGAGGAATAAGAATTGATTTGTTTTTGTTTGTTATTTTGGCTTTGTTGGCTCCTGAAACTAAAATTCTCCCACTTGCATTGTAAACCATTAATCTCATAAAAATACTGCTCTTTGGCTTTTTGAAAACCACTCTTCCATGTCGTTCTCTCTTTCATGTTGCACCTTTACCCTAGACGGGGGTGTAACATCGCTGCTGAGAAATATAATGTAGCGATTCAGTATTGAAGCTACTATAACTGTATAACTGACAACTGTATTCTGCTGCTGTGTGAGCGTGGCCTCAGAGATGTACAGAACAGTGCAGACTTCATATTTCAATAGCGGTCGTTTGTGCTTTATTCACAGACACTAGTCCATATAGAGTTTTCATTACGTGTGCAGCACTACTTTTGATTTATTCAACAAAGATTTGTCAAATTCTGTGACATTTCTCATTATACTGCAAACTCCATTTTTATGACTAGATTCCACGATTCCCTCTGCATTTTTCACATTGCGAAAATCATACGGATCTAAAATTATTTTGCGAGCGCCACTTTGGGAATTTATTTTTCCATCATTTCAGTTCAAATATTAATAGTATTAATAGTGTACTTGTGTGGTGCCAGATCCTCCATAGTGAGCCTGTTGTCTGGCCAGCCAGTGCACTGCCTCTCCTGCTTTATCAAAGTCTTTTGCCTTCACAAGCGCCAGCACAGCGTAAGCCGTCGCCTCTAGTGAGTGATAATGCTGTCCAGGGACAGTCCAGAATCTACCGGCTGTTTCAAACACAAAACAGGATTAGAAACAGGACTGTCTTGCTGTTTCCTCATTACAGTACAAACAAGCAGCTATTTTTTCATAATTTCTACTTGGGTTTGTTTTATTGTTCTCTTTTGTATAAAGCAAAACACTTTTTGTTGACATGTTGGTGTGAGTGACCTTCTCCTTGGGTGGAATGTCTCATCAAGATGTCTTTCTTGAGTTTGTTCTCATTGGCCATGGCATAGGACGTCATCGCAACAGCGTAAGGATTGGTCAGTTGTGGAAGTCGACCTTCCAAGAAGGAAACAGCCTTCTTGATGCTTTCATGCAGACTCTATAAAAGTGTGTGTAAAAGGTAAAAGTAAGTTCTTAGATCTGCATTCTTCAACATTCATCATACTCGACTGTTAAAGAAATAGTTCAGTGAAAATGAAAATTCTGTCATCATTTACTTACTCTCCTCATGTTCCAAAGCTATATGTGTTTCTTTCTTCTGTTGCACATAAAAGCAGATATTTTGAAGAATGCTGGTAACCAAACAGTTGATGGTCCCCATTGATTTCCATAGTATGGAAAAAAATACTATGGAAGTCACTGGAGACCAGAAAGTGTTTAGTTACCCACATTCTTCAAAATATCTTCTTTTTATGTTCTGCAGAAGAAATAAATTCATATAAGTTTGGAACAACATGAAAGTGAGTAAAGGGTGACAGAATTTTCAGTTTTGGATGAACTATCCTTTTAAATCAGGCGTGAGGAACGTTGGTCCTGGAGGGCCGGTGTCCCTGCAGAGTTTAGCTCCAACCCTGAAAAAATAATACTTACCTGTAGTCTGAAGACCTTAATTAGCTTGTTCAGGTGTGTTTGATTAGGGTTGGAACTAAACTCTGCAGGGACACTGGCATATTTTGTTGTCACCTGAATGCTTGGACAAATTGTCATGAGGGTCCATAAATGACACAGTCAGATAGCAGAAAAAAGAGATACATTTTGTTTGCCATAACTCTATGTCCACATACTGACTGCAAAGTTATAGGAGCGATTTACAGAAGCGGCAACCACATGTGAACGTGAGAGTGAATCCCTAAATGGTTATTTGGAATCAACTCATAAATGGAGTGACTTTATGGACTTAATGCACTTTAATCCATTTATGAGTCATGCCCAGATAGCAAGCCGTTGAAGGTCACAATATTTTGGACTTATTTGAATCTATCCAGCATTTGAATTTAATTAGGTTTATTTGGAGAAAAATATTACATTTAAATTTTATATTTTTAATTGGGTTTATTTTTGTTGTTGTAGCCTGAATTTTTGGTCACCCCATAAATGACTGATCTGTGTGTGCATAGAACAGTAGCAAGCAGTAAAATATGAACCCAGGACATAGCTTCATTGTGTACGTGGCCAAAAAATTAACTTACAGCAACTGATTCAGCACAGATCTCTCTGCCCTCTTGCATGGTGATCAGGATAAATGCCGTCAGAGAGACATCAGCATTTTTGCCCTGTATGTCACCCTGGAATAAAGCACAAACAAACTAGATTATCACAAAAACAATCAGATTATGTGTGTGTTTAACACATCCAATAACAATTTGTGCATTAATAAAGTGCAGTGTGCCGATCTTGATGTAAATTTGGCTTCTGTGAGCCAAATATCTATGTGAAATCTTTTTGGATGTCTAATATTTCTAATATTTTAATTCTGCTGTCTTAAGTTGTTCAATACCTTTGCATTTAAAACTAAATAACACACTTTATATGTAGCCCTAGAAACTGTTACAATCGCTTCCATAGTTTGTTTATACTGCAGTTTGTACTGTAGATTATTTAATACATTACTGGGAACCACAATGAAATAAATCACTGGTTCAGGTGCATTGCATCTTTCTTTTGTGAACACAGATGGACACATTCAACAACATTCAATTTACCATCATCTCTCTATGAATTACAGCTGAATCCTCTTTAAAGGAGCCATCTTGTATTTGTTTGTGGAGAACCAGCCACTCGAGGGCGCTGCAGATCACATGATCTTCTGTATATATGAAGTCACTGGCCATGGTGAAGACTTTGGCCACATATGCTGTCAGCCTTTAACAGACAAACAGAACAGCAGAAATAAATCAAATTTAAAAACATTATAATTATTATTACTACACTCTAAAAATGCTGGGTTAAAGACAACCCAGCACTGGGTGAAATATGGACAAACCCAGTGATTGGGTTGTTTTAACCCAGTGGTTGGGTAAAATGTTTAACCCAACCTTCTGGGTAGTTTTATTTAACTTAAATATTGTTTCAAAATTACTATATGGCTGGCTTAAAATTAACCCAAAGGTTCCCATAGGTTGTAAAGTAGATAATCACTAGAGGCATCAAACAAAAGGTGAACATTTATCAATAAGCAATTAAAAAAAATTGAATTATTTAATTATTATTTATTCAACGTATTAATAAACGTATAAATTCCAACCTATCTTAGGTTAATTTTAAGCAATAAATATAGTAATTTTTAAGCAATAGTTACATTTACATTTAGTCATTTAGCAGACGCTTTTATCCAAAGCGACTTACAAATGAGGACAATAAAAGCAGTCAAAACTAACAAAAGAGCAATGATAAGCAAGTGCTATAACAAGTCTCAGTTAACTTAACGCAGGACACGTAGCAAGGTTTTTTTTTTTATTATATTATTAATAAAAAGAACAATAGATCGAATAGAAAAAGAATAGAGCAAGCTAGTGATAGAGGCCTTTTTGTTTTTGTTAATTGTATAATAAATAAAAAGAAAACAAACAGATAGAATACAAAAATACTAGAGAAGCTAGTGTTTTTTAAAAGAAAACAAGCAGTAAATTAATAGAAAGCAAATCAAAAATGGTCTAAAGTTTTTTTTTTTTTTTTTTTTAAAGAATAGAATTAGAATAGAGAGTGCTAGAGTTAGAGGGTCAAATAAAGATGGAAGACGTGTTTTTAGCTGATTCTTGAAGATGGTTAAAGTCCGCATGAAATCAAAATTGACTTTATTTACTTTACTAGCGCACATTGCTAGTTTTGATGTAAACAGTTAATCCGTGCAAGTTAATCTGCTGAAAAAAATTGTTTGTCTTTGTAATCTTTAATCAAAATCTGAACATTTACTTCCGCTCTGGAATGGCATTCCTTTTCTGATGACATCAGTTGGACGGATTGGGCAGAATATCCTTAAACACACCCCTCTAACCGTTAGATTGCTATGAGTGAGAGACAGAGAGGAGGAGCGCAAACATAAAACCATGCCCTCTATTCAATATTCCGTTTCAGCTGGAAATACGTCACTACACTGAAATAAAGTCAGCAGCAACTTCCGGTTCACGCGGACTTTAAGGACTCAGCTGTTAGGATTGAGTTGGTCATGTCATTCCACCAGGAGGGGGCAGTTAATGAAAAAGTCTGTGAAAGTATTTTGTGCCCTTTTGCAATGGTACAATCAAGCGACGTTCACTTGCAGAATGCAAGCTTTTAGAGGGCACATAAGTCTGAAGTAATGAATTTAGGTAAAGGGGTGCAGAGCCAGTGGTGGTTTTGTAGGCAAACATTAATGCCTTGAATTTTATGAGAGCAGCTATTGGTAGCCAGTGCAAATTGATAAAGAGAGGTGTGACACACATTATTTTTGGCTCATTAAAAATTAATCTTGCTGTCGCATTCTGGATTAATTGTAAAGGTTTGATAGAACTGGCTGGAAGACCTGCCAAGAGAGCATTGCAATAGTCCAGCCTGGATAGAACAAGAGCTTGAGCAAGGAGTTGTGAAGCATGTTCTGAAAAAAAAAGGGCCTGATCTTCTTGATGCTGAATAAAGCAAATCTGCAGGACCGGACAGTTTTAGCAATGTGGTTTGAGAACGTAAGCTGATCATAAATCATATCTCCAAGGTTTCTGGCTGTTTTTGAAGGAGTTATGGTTGATGTGCCTAACTGGATTGTGAAATTGTGATGAAACGATGGGTTTGCTGGAACCACAAGCAGTTCTGTCTTGGCAAGGTTAAGTTGCAGGTTATAATCCTTCATCCAGCAAGAAATGTCTGTTAGACAAGCTGAGATGCGAGCAGCTATCGTCGGATCACCAGGATGGAATGAGAAGTAGAGTTGAGTATCATCAGCATAGCAGTGATATGAAAAGTCATGTTTCTGAATGACAGAACCTAGTGATGCCATGTAGACAGAGAAGAGAAGTGGTCCAAGAACTGAGTCCTGAGGCACCCCAGTAATTAGATGTTGCGACTTGGACACCTCACCTCTCCAAGATACCTTGAAGGACCTATCTGAGAGGTAAGACTCAAACCACTGGAGTGCGGATCCTGAGATGCCCTTTGCCAATATGGTTAACAGGAGGATCTGGTGGTCAAAAGCAGCGGACAGATCCAACAAGATAAGTATTGAAGATTTGAAAACCGCTCTTGCCAGTCTTAGGGCTTCAACAACTGAGAGCAAGGCAATAGTTGAGTTAAATAAAACTACCCAGAAGTTTGGGTTAAACATTTTACCCAACCGCTGGGTCAAAACAAGAAGTGTGTCCATATTTCACCCAGCGCTGGGTTGTTTTTAACCCAGCATTTTTTTTAGATTGTATTAAAATACTATTTAACAATAAAATGCAATATAGGAGAAACAAGGCGTGAAAGAGAAAAGCAAGCTTATTTCCTCATAAGTAATGACGTCAAAGTGACTTACCATGTGCTGCTCGGCGTCTGTGTAAATATAGAGTAGGATCCATCTGATTTACGGTAAACCAGCTGCCACTGATAACCTTAACAGAAAAAAAAATAAAAATAATATATATTTGTTTATTATCTATGGAAGCCCGTTTCCGCCACTGAATAAAAAATAAAAAAGGTTTGCGACTTTTTATCTCACAATTCTGACTTTTTTTCTCGTAATTGCAAGTTTATATCTCACAATTCAGAGAAAAAAAGTCAGTATTGTGAGATAAAAAGTTGCAATAACCTTTTTTATTTTTTATTCAGTGGCGGAAACGGGCTTCCATAGATAATAAACAAATATATATTATTTTTATTTTTTTTTCTGTTAAGGTTATCAGTGGCAGCTGGTTTACCGTAAATCAGATGGATCCTACTCTATATTTACACAGACGCCGAGCAGCACATGGTAAGTCACTTTGACGTCATTACTTATGAGTTATTGCAACTTTTTATCTCACAATACTGACTTTTTTTCTCTGAATTGTGAGATATAAACTTGCAATTACGAGAAAAAAAGTCAGAATTGTGAGATAAAAAGTCGCAATAACCTTTTATTTTTTATTCAGTGGCGGAAACGGGCTTCCATAATTATCTATATATTGTATTATTATTTTTTTCTACTTTTGATCTAAAATTTTCACAAGAGCATCTTTGAGAGTACTTTATTAATTTTATTTCAAATCATAGTCAGATTCTTTATATCTGTTGTGTCCTGCTGACCTGTGTTGATATGTTTGATGGCTTCATTACGGCGCTCCATGCCAACAGTCTCCCATTGATTGGTGCTGTCCAGATAATGAGTGGCAATGAGAGGCAGAGTCATACGGATCATGTTTGACTCTCCATTAGCGCTAGGCTGGACAATAAGGCGACCCATGAAGCTTCCATTGATGGCCTGTTCGACTGTCTGAGTGATCTCCTTACCTGGAGGAATGAAAGACGGAACGCAGGCGGAGAATTTAGAATTCAGAATTCTGATTCTTTTTGAGTGATCTTTTACATTGACATCGGCTTATAAAGTTTAGTTGGAATAACTTTATGAAAGTAAAGTGAACTTACTATATTATGTTTTCAATACCACATCTCATTTTCATTTAATCTAATTTGACTTATTTTCTTAAACCATTTAAATTGTTCTTTTATGTCAACTGTAAATCATTATTTTATTTCAAATGTTTCAGTCATCTTTTGGCTGACAGCTGATCATCATAAAGTAATTTGATTCACGGATCACATCTGAAATTCCATTGCTGATTGTTAGGGTCTATAATAATCTTATTAATGCATCTAAACTTTTTACTACTGACCTTGCTGCAGCAATCACTCCAGAATTTGAAGAATTTGAAAAAACATGATGCACAGACAATAAGTCTTAAATTACTGTATGATTTATACAGACACGCATGCATTGAGTGCATTGATTCATTTAAAACAGTAATTTAAATCACTGTAAAACAAGCACTTGAATGTCATAAAAGCAGACATCTTCAAAATGTAATATATTTTTTTATATATTCATTTGCGCTGAGGAGCCGTGCCAATGCACAAGCCACGTAAAGAAGATAATTCTGCAAATAACTGAAATTGAAGGTTTTAAACCGAGATGTCGACAAAGAGGTCAAACTTGTGGACTGGAGCTTTAAGTATCTTTTGGGAGTATCTGTACTTTACTTGAGTTTTAATTTTTCTGCGAACTTTCACTTTTACTCAACTACATTTCAATTAAAATGTATACTTTTACTCTGATACATTTCCCCAAAGCATATTCGTTACTTACTACAAAATAAACCTGCAAGAAAGAAGGTTTGACAAATCAGTGGTCTGGCGCTTGCACGTTAGACTATTAAAAAAACACCCTTGCTCATTTGCAAACAAGTGCTCGCACAATTGCGGATGATTTCATTTTCCACTCAAGTCGAGTCTGGCTTGTGCGACATACAATATATAAGTGTAGTTTTAACTATATGTGATCTAACAATATCAAGTATAGCCTATCACAAAACACCAGAGGTGGGACCAAGTCATCGCCAAATGTGCACGCAAAGAAAGAAGGCGTGGTTTCAGGAACAGCAGTAGGGTTGATGATATGGAGCCAGATCGGCCTCAAAAATAACACATTTGCAAAACAAAATTCATAAATGCACAGCACAATTTACATTTACAAAATCCGATTCATAAATTCAAAACACAATTCATAAATACACAAGTAAAAGCATAAATATTTCCCCAAATGCTCACACAAATGCATCTTACCTAAATAAATTAAAAATGTTTACACAAATATATGTTTACACAAATTCAAGCTGCGCTTGAACTGTGCATTGTTCCATGATCGGGTCCTTGATGTAAAGACATTTTAATGGGCAGTGTTGGGCAAGTTACTCTGAAAATGTAATTAAATTACTGATTACCGATTACTCCTTTTAAAAGTAATTATGTTACTGTTCTGATTACTTTATTTCAAAAGTAATTAGTAATTGGTTACATTACTAGTTACTGTTACTTTATTCTCCATTACATTTATGAAATCCCAGCATACATGCTCCCGATAAGTATTCGTTATTAAAGCATCAACATTCACAGAACACTGTTATTTTAACTAAAGCAAGCGGCTGCTGCGTGTATGGTTTGGTATTGTAATGGCAGTGAGCGCTAGCAGCCAGGTGCATTATGGGTATTTGTTTAGAGTTGATTTATTTGTTAATTAAGCAAGATGTTAAGCAATGTTATTTGTGTTTATGTTCAAGTTAGTTTGGGAGGGTTTGGTTCATTTACTGCCTTGTTATAAAAAGTGTGGCTGTCATCGTCATGGAGACAGATGTGTAGGGGAGGCACTTGGCGATATGGCCTTGCTTGTGTATGTTCTCATTCTATATTTAGAATCAAAGAAGAAAGATGCCGGCATTGCTTCCTGATGGAATGTTCTGTGTGTGCGCTCCAGTTCACAGAGACACTCCGGGTTTTGCGGTGTATAGGATGCGAATGTTCGCACTCTACAGTAATCAAAATTCAAAGTCTGTAAGTGAAAATCTATATAGTATGCTTTATAATTACTATTTTGAAAATTATAACGCATTAAATTATTCCGTTGCTAAAAATTGAAATCAGATGTCAGTAACGCGTTACTGCTAAACACTGTTAATGTGTTTTCTTTTTATAGTACCTGATTACAATTTCTACAAAATCACATTATGATTTCGGATTTTGTAAATGTAAATTGTGCTGTGCATTTATGAATTTTGTTTTGCAAATGTGTTATTTTTGAGGCCGATCTGGCTCCATATGATGAAGCCATGTCAGGGAGACGCTGTGTTTCAGTGTGAAGCAAAAGCACTTTATTTGGCCTTCCGGAAGTAGATGCAATTAGGAATCATTGGTTAAGATTTATTTACAACAGAACAGCACAACCCAGATGTTCGAATTTGTGCAACGCATTTTATGGACGACAGTTTTTTTAACCTAGAAGAGT